CCTCTTCGTGGGGCAGTCACTGAAACAACGCCCGTTCTCAAGGATGTGCGGATGTGCAGCTGTGCAGTCAGCACGAAACGTGTATTTATTATTTACAAGCCGCATATCAGAACAGTTCAGCGCACAACAAACTTGCCAAACGGCTAGCATATATGTCACGTGGCCCAAATAAAGAAATGTGCTAAGCTCAAGGCGGCAATAGCGGCAGCACGAATACACCAACAACAGCAGGAGCAGCTGGTGCTGCAGGAGCAAACACGAGATTAGCGGCGGCTACTTGGGCTAGACTTGAACCGGGCCAATGATAAGGAAATGCCACTACATAGTTTCTGCATTATGTCTAGGCATAATTCTGTGCCACAGCGTTGTATAACTAACTCAGCAATGTTGTCTGCCGGCTATGCCATAGATTATAGCCCAGCGAAGGCGAAGGGCTACTGCGTGGTCGTTGGCCCGGCTTCGTGAGCACCCAACGAGGGGCAAACGAAGAGAACGTGCCAAACATGTGCTAAAAAAGAGAGCGAGAGCGAGAGCTTTTGCTGTACTAAATGAACAAAGAGAAAGCTTTAAGAGAAGCGAGCTTCACATTTACGATATAAACCCCATGTCCATGCTACACCTTATGATATATTCCCCCTAGCATGTTAAACCGAAATTGATATTTGTATGGCTAAGTGTTTGCATGTGTGTGTGTGTATGCATGTGTGTGTATTTGTGTATGGCCTGCTTGTTTAGTGTAAATGCATTACAAGAGCAACAACAACGGCAACAAACAGAAACTACATAAACGCGTGTAAGTGGTTTAACAAGTCCTGAAATTTTAAATACGCGCAAATTTCAGAGGGCGCACTTAAACAACGCTTCAGCTAATTGACTAGACAAATTTTTGTAGCTTTAATTAGCAGCAACAGCTCAGGGGCGTGGCTAGAAATCCACCTAGTATTAGCTCAACGAGCCAATTATTAAGTGCCTACCTCACCTAGTTAACGATTGAGCTCACATCCAGTCAGTTTTCTAAGCGCCACGTATACGTAATATTTCAGAATATCGGTTTTGACAAGGCACAGCATGTATGTAAGTGCATTCGTGTGAGAAGGGGCTGAGCTGGAGGCAGGTCATGTTGTGTAAACAGCTGGTCCATCTACGTCTGGGTCAAATTATGTGCGGTCAACAAGGTTAGCAGCTGAAGGGCTGAAGGGCCCAATTTCTTCGATTGCGGCATGTGTTGCATGCAACATTGCGGTCGATTATGTTTGTGCTCGTTTTCGAACTGTTGCTATTGCTGTTGTTGTCCGACAAGAGGCAAGGCACAGTGCTCATCTCCGAGGATATGCTACACCAATACCTATACCAATGCCCAGTTGCAAATTTAATTATAATTTATACGATAAACTAGACTAGTTGAATGTAAATTTAATAGATATTTATTGAATGATATTGGGGCGAGAATTATAAATAATATTCGGTATTTTGTCAGAATATCAAATACTATAATCGGCTAAAATGACGTCAATTCACCGAATGGGCGTAAATAATTAATGCGCGTTCAATTTAGTTTTCGGGTTTGTTTTTATTTTTTCATTTCGGTTGCTCACCTGGTTGACTGTGATTGTTAATAATTATGGCGCACTTGCGGACCAACCGCTTGTGTTACTAGCCATGGCTCGCATAATTAAACAATGTAAAGCTTTGTGGCACTCGCGGTGCGTGCTGTCGGGCGTCACATGTGGCTAATTAAAACATATTGCTTGTGACCCTTTTGTCATGCGAAATAAAATTAGCAGATTTTTAAAGCGTGGCGTGAAATCTGCAATCATTTGTCAAACGGCACTCGGAAAGAGTGTGGAAGGAAAGCGAGGCGAACGCCATTAGGGATAGCATCATCAAAGCAAATCCTTTACGTCTATCGCATGTATCACATCCATGAACACACAACAGATAGAATAAAAGTAATAGAAGCCCACGCCAGCCGTCAAGCGTTAGCAAATTGGCAAGCGGCGACAGCAGCAACACCAACGACACCAGCAACAGCAGCAGCAGCATCAGCAATTGGTACACAAGAGATATCGACTCAAGCGTCCTCGAGCTGATGCCACTCATATACACACTCACACACGCAAACACAAAAGACACACACATACACAATGGCACACATATGCAAAGCTTAAGCGTACACATATCAAAAATAAACCATCAGGCGTGGTAGAAAAAAAAGACGACGTCATATCAACATTAGTCAATGTCGCCCAACTGGTTACCCGTGTCTAGGCTTTTTCCATGGCCATGTACACAATTCCGCGCAGCCTCCACACCGTGGTGTAATCTGTCCAGGCGCTTGCCGTATCCTTGCCGCTTTGAATAATTGAGCGTCGCCTCTATCTGTTTGGTTGTGTGTGTTTGAGGATTGTCTAAAGTTTGAAAAATGTGCGTGACTCAGTTTGAGGCCGCGCCAACCGAACTCGGACGTGGCCCTAATAAACTCCTATATAGGCTGCCTGCTAGTGAAAAATTAATACCTTGAATTCAGCTTTAGTTTATAGGAAAAAACAAACAAACTAGCAAAAGTTAATGTAGGCTGAGGCAGCACGACCCTTTAACTATTTCGATTCCCCTTTTAAACTATTTTCCATCAGCAAGGTCGATGAAGGATATTGTAATATTTTAATAAGCTTTAATATCAAGTTATAAATAATGCAAAAATTAAAAATAAATTTCTACTGCCCAGAAAATCATACAACTTTAATACAGATTTCCGATAGCAGGCATGAAGTGAAATAAAATTTCAAAGTTTCCAACTTTTCTCGATTTTCCATTGCTCGCATTTTGTTTTTGTCTTAAAGTGTGCCTTCCTTCATAACTATGCAGTTTGAGCAGTGCAAATGATTCGGCAGAGAGATTTTAATAAAGTTCTATCCATGGCTCATTATTATTGCAGGAACGAGAATTAGTGGGAAGTTTGCTGAGATTCCAGCTTTGGTCGGAAGACATCGAAAGCAGTCGATATAGAGCTGTACGATATAGTTAAATCGTGTTGCTACGATTTTGATTGCCATTATGCGGTATCTGCAACATGTGCTCCACATCCATCACAGGCCCAGCTACATGTTCGAGTGTAGTTTATGCAATTCAACAAACTTTGCATAAAACCAAGCGCTTGCCGCAAACATTGAGCAGGCATGTGCATACGTGTGTATTGTGTGTATATCTATGTGTGTGTGCGTGCGTGCGTGTGTGTGTGTGTGTCAACTATGTATAAGAAAATGTTTGCTTTGGTGCTGAATTTCGCTCGAAACGTTTCATCTGGAACTGAAAGTGGCATGCACTGAGAAGATTGGCTTTGGGGAGAAGTTGCTGTGGCAACTTCAGCTAGCGTCTTCGTTGTATTGACTTGCACTTTGTGGCGCGTTGCGTTGCATATAAAATGGCTGCAAGACAATACATTAAGCGCAGCTACGCAACGCGTCTGAAACAAAAAACGAAAAACGAGAAACGGGAATCGGGAACCGGGAGAGGGAACGGGAACGGGCAGGAGAACGGCAGTGGGAACGGCAGCGGCAGCGGTAACGGTAACGGGTTTCATTTGCGGCTGACGTCTTTTGTGCGCATTTCCACTTTGGCACCTTTCTGCTGCACGCACGACTTGTGGCCACTTTGGCAGACTGTCATGGAGCCTGCATGTCCTCGTGTTTGTTAAAACTTCATTGTCAGATGCAAAGCAAACAGTTTACGCTTTTAAAATCCATTAACAAACAAAACAAAAAAAGGAGAGAAGAAACGAAGCGGAAACAGAGGAAAAATGCCACAGTCGTATGCGGCGTATGCGTAATGTGACTAAAACATGAAAAAATGACAGCAGAACGTGACATGTAACAGGTTATTGGAGCACACAAAGCAAACAACAACCATACGAACAACTTTATCCAAAAATCCTTTTACATCAGCTAAAGCAACAACAGCAGCAAAAGCAGCGGCAGCAACGGCAACGGCGACAACAACAACAGCAACAGTAAAGATAAACAAACAAGCGAACAAAACTCGAGACACAGAAAAAAATCACAATATAAAGTACTGCAATTCATTCTGTTCAGCTGCTCTGCTCAGAGCTCTTCTTCCATCTTCCTTCGCCTGCCCTTCCCTGTCTCTGTCTGAATGCTCTACTGAGGAAGGGCATGCAAGCATTCGCATAAAGCTGTGTAAACTTTTAATATGACTACAAGTACTTAAAGCATTGTGACAGTTAAGAGAGTTTTGTAAATATTTGATTTAATATTTATAGAACATATTGGAATTGCTTTTTCTTTTTATTTTAGTTATCGATGTTTATCTGACTGTCTGAGTTAGGTCTTACATTTCTATATATTTTCTTCACACATTCTTTACTTTATCAAGTGTCGCAGGTAGCTTTGCATGCTTTTATTTCATCATTCACTTATCCATTTAGCTTAAATTTCATTTAGTTAGTTTTTATTTTATTTTATTTATATATAGGCTTTCTCTTTTGCTTAGCGCTTCTCGTTTCTCTTCAATTTAGAGTATGAAAAAAATCATCGTTTGAAAAACAACTTTTGCTCCTGTGCAAGTATCTGCCATGGGCTTATGCCTGTGCTTGTGCGTGTGTGTGCATGTGTGTATGTTTGTTGCATATGACATTTTATCTTTGTCACTAAATTGACACTTTAGTTAATGGATTTTGTATGTGTGAGTGTGGGTGTGAGCGAGGAACTGCGGAGTTCTCTTTTGTATCTGACTGCCGCCATTTCTTTGCGCTGTTGCTCTTTATCTCTCTTGGATGACAAAAAACCACTGGATAACAAGTATCGCACGCACTTAGCTAGAATATTGCTCTTGCGCTCAAGTGTAAATGTAAGTACTTTGAATAATAACAATGCTCAATTTGATGGATGTATAACAAGTCCCTCAAGAATCACAATAGTGTGTGTGTGTGTGTCTGAGTAGGCCAATGTGTGTCAAGCAGTGTGTGAATTATTCGACTGTCATGAATTGCCAAGCATTTTGAGTCAAATCATATGGACAACACATGTGTATTCAAATTATTAATTGTATAAGTGTACAAAACTTCTGCCAGGCAAAATGCGTCGCCGCCAGTTCGACAAGTGTGTCAAAAATACTATGGGAGCCAAGCGCGTTAGGATGGGTGAGTGCATTATTAAGGCATTGCAATAGATAGGATAGATTGTATTGCAACGGAAGTCCATTTCGGTCTAGAGTCCAAATGTGTGCCGCTGAAACGAGAGGCCAACAATAGCGCGAAAGTGCAACAGATGCAGCAGCCAAACAGGAAGCAACAGCACCCGCAGTCTGTTAAGCATGCGGCCTCGCCTCAAGCCAATAAAGAGCTCATTGTACACTGGACACGCTCGGAGCGCCAAAACTATGAACCAATTCGTTTGTTGCCACCCTGGTAGGTCTACCCCACGGCAATAACCACAAATAAATATTATGCGCACCCAGCGGATTCACTCTAAAATTGACTCAATCACTGTGTTAGGCATCGGACCTCAATCTAACGTCTGAGCGCTTTAATTTTAAATTGTGTATCTCCCTTTGCATCAAAAAAAATTAAAAATTTACAAGCAATATATACAGTCAGTAGTGCATTTCTCTTCAGCTACGGACCAACAGTGTGTGAATTATATGCATAAAAATTCCATTTAATTTGGTAAAATATTTCCAGTTAAATCAGATATTTGATCAGCTCTTTATATTCATTTCTTTGCATCACGCTGTTTATAGCGTTACTATGCAAATTCCCATGGGATTTCAGCTGTCGCACTTTGTCAGATTTTCACGTGAACTTAAATCAGATTTTGTTCATCGTTCCCGCTTAAATTGTGAGCAATAATTTACACACGCTTTTTCCGCAATGCGTCGGTCAAAATGGTTCGGAATGAGGGATTTGTAAGTTGGCCTGGTAAATAAATGAAATAATAAATTGGAAAAGTTCCGAGCAGGGCCGAGCCGCACCGAGCCGAGCCTGAACGTGTGCTGGGATTCCTCTAATCGAATATGCGCATCCAAATGCCTGGCTTCATGGGCGTGTGATTGGGGGACTGATCCGTTGAGTGACTGAGTGACAGGCGCACTTATCATATCACGGCGCTTGACATTAATTGGCTGACAGCAATTTATAATCGGAATTTTCAATTTCTATGACTTGCTCACATGGCTGCTATGAGGAAATGTGAAACTGACGAATGTAAAGACACATGGAAAATGTTATAGTCATTATTTCGGTTATTGGAAGGTACATCGACACATGTATAGCTGGCTGTAGAAATCGAAAAAATAAGATAAGTCTTAATTGCTTTATTTTTATATGAGCTTAAGTGCCTCAGGTAAGCTCATTATAAAACTAAGCGATTCTAGTCGCACTCAGCTTGAAGCCTGAGCTGCACTTGAATGGCATGAAAGTGTCTTAATACTCAGCGGATTAAATTGATGGCAGACGGTACGGCGCCGCTCTGTGGCAGATTCTGGTGCAGCGCAGCCGCATTGTGAAATAACTCATTCATCATAAGAAGGCAGCTATACGGGGTTGAGGGAGGGGGCCGGGCCGACTGATGACAAAAGCGGCTGACAAGTGCAGATGAAATGTTGAAAGAGCCAAAATGAATACACAACGCAACAATTAATTGTCTGCATCGTTCGCCTTTGCCCGCGTCCTTAGACTGACGCAGGTCTCCTGCCCCGGGCCAAGGGCATGAATGAATGAATGAATAAAGGCGAGGTACGTCGGGCGGGTCGCGCTCATGACACGCAATAATCGCGGAGCTTTTGTATTTAATTAATGGCTCGCAATATTGTTATAAAGGCTCTAGTATATACACATTTAAAGGCAAATTACTTATTTACTTCAGTAATTGAAAGCAGACGGCGCAGCAACAGCACGGGCAACAGCTGCCACATGCAACATTATATGCGGCTGTCATAAAGTGGCAAACTATGCGTTTGCCTTAAATATTACTATTAAATTAATTGTGTGTCAGTGGCCTGGATTTTTAGGTTTCATTTAATTAAAACGTTTATTAAGAAATTGCAATCGGTGTATGAGAAATGAGGGCAAAAACTGACGGCGGCCACTCGGACATGCAAGATTTTCCGCATGATAAATTATCCTAATGATGACAGACGACCCAGAGGCGTGTCGACACAAAGGCTGCAGCTCAACAGCAGCACCAACACAAATAGCAACAACAACTAAGGTGAGCATCAGGTGTGTCCGGCTCAAAATTAGCCGTGCTAGACTAGGTTAAGTGCTGCTTGACTATTTGCCAAGAAAATTTGTATTGGGCAGAATGACATTAGGTAGAAAATTTAATTTCCCCTTAAGAATTCCACAGACAAACTGTTTACAATCCAAATGCAAGGATACTTTCTATAAACAGATTTATTTATATCATTCAATGCAATCAATAGGGGCATTCAAAAAGGTTCACACAATTGCAGCAAACGTGAATTTAATTAACCATATTTTATCGTGTATTTACATCACAAGCCTGCCCACCCGAAAGTAAACAATCGAAAACAATTAAAGTGGGTCAGAATACCTACAAGAATGTAATTAATTTGTGGTACAAATATGTTGGTAATTTATTAATTTCACCGCCATTATCGAGCATGCTTGGTCGTTGCTTATCGTCGAAGCAAGCGAAATAGCCAGAAAGAGGAACGGCCAAAATGAACTTTAAAGGCATGTCAAGGCTTCTCAATGGAGAATTTGTGTGTGTGTGGGTGTAAGAGCGACCCAGGTGGCGTTTCGCGCTCCAATCAAGCATTCTTGCGGACCAAGTGTTAATGACCAGCTTCAGAAAGACGAAGGCGTAGACAGTGAGGGGTCAGCGGCAGTGCTGCGACAAGTAATTATTAATGCGAAAGGCCTACGATTCGCTTGGACATATTTACGGTCATCTCCATGCAGAGATTTTATTGAAATGCGTTGTGATTGCAATAAAAGATAAAAATGAAATAATATACGAGAATTTTTGCATTTCAACTGAATTTTAAATGCGACTACAACTGCAGCTGCAGCTGCAGAGCAGCAGCTGGCTGCAATGCGTGGCAAGCCATTAAGAATTTATGATGCGCCTCACAGCATCGCCGGTTGCAAGTGCAAATCCTTCAGTTCACATAGCTCTTGGATATTTCTGAACGCTGTGATATTCATACAGTTGCCCAATAAAAATCCTGGCCATTTAAATTGCCGTTAAATGACGCATTCAGTTTAATGAAAGTAAATTCATTTAGCTGATGCTACAATCTGTAACGGCCTCTATCGTCCCTTTGACATGGATTGCAGTTTAACAACAAATTGATTACATTTAGCGTAAGTCGAGCGACGAATATTAATCGGCTTATTTATTTTGTTCCTGAAGCTGCAATCGGTAAATCTTGAATATTGAGATTTTCTGTCTTTGTAGATGTCATTTTTATTGTGTGAAATCGAAAAGCTAAAGACGTGATATAAATATGTCAAGCGAAATAGGACATTTACGATTTTCATTTCAAGAGCCGTGCCACAGGCTGCCCAGTGGGCCTTGGTTCAAGAGGGTCACGGCAAATTGCTGCAAAATATTTGCACAAGTCAAACTAAAGCCAAAACCCGAAACTGAAACGTCGTAGCTTGCAATTGCATTCACACTAGAGTCTGGGTCAGCAGTTACTCAGCTCATGTGTGTGTGTGTGTATGTGTATGTGTGTGAGTTGGTCTCAAAAGTGGTTACCGAGTGAAAATGAAAACGTAAACCCTTAGAAATGTCTTGCCCGTCTGTGTGTACATCGGAAGTGGGTAAATAGCGCACAAGGAAATGTACAAATAAATATTTACAATTGAAAACCAACGGGAAATGCAACCGCCACGAGCCAACAAGAAGCGCTAAAACGTTTTACATATACAAATAAACTCTAACCCACACGTGCATACATACATACATATAACATATGAGCCATACAAATACTTGAATCTATCAAGTATAAGTGATTGCGTTGGTGAATGGGGAAATGGAAATTCCTATGGCATCATTTAATTGCAGCTGCCGCCATAAATATAATCCTCATGGATTATTTAACTCAAGGGTATCCACTAATCGGAAGCGTATCCAAATTGGATCTCTTAAAAATAGCCAACTTAAAAATTATATTCAAATCAGCGGCAATTTGCATCTGAATTGCTGCCCAAATAAAATTCAAGAGGAGGAAGTGGGAAAAAACACAAACAAAATCAGTGAGGGTTAGGTTGGCTATAAGATATCAAGCAATAAAATACAAAAATAAACTATTTTTTTTTTTATTTGTTAAATATTAAGCTATGATATGTTATTCATGTGAAATATTCTTTTATTTAGTTTACATTGTATCGTGAAACACATTGAACCCGATGACAGCGGTTTGCAGGGTATAAACACATTGCGGCTGTTGTAGCTGACTGTGTTAGCCACAAGGCGGCAATCAGTTGGAGTTTTAGCGGAAAATAGCTATAATAGTAGCTGATATGAATATCTAAACCAAAAAAGGCAAAGTATTGCAAAATGGCCTAAAAAGCATAACCACGAAAAAGGCCGTCGAAACAGCTGCACACATGCTTGAAAAATCAAGCAAGAGCAACAGCAACAGCAACAACAACAAGTACAACAGCAGCAACAATAAAAACAACTCGAGCTGAGCAGCGGCAGCAACCACAAAAGCAATTTCGATCAGGCACAGAGATAAAAGACTGGAAAAACTGAATCCGAGCTGAGGGGCAACGCAGCACATCAGTTACAAACATGTAGGCTACTGTTGGGCCAAAAAAAAAAAAAGAAAGAGAAAATACAGAAGAAGAACGGAGGCAGCATAAAATCAAGCCAGATAAACACACACACATATACAGAGACACAGCGAAAAAAAAAATATATAGATGCAAAAAGTCGAGTAGAAAGCGCTCTTTGTTGTGCCGTCTTCAGCGGCAGCGGCAACGGCAACGGCAACGGAGGCCCTCAATTGCCATTGAAGGTGCGCTAAAATTATGCAAATCATCGTAATTCCTTAACGGCGCGCGCAAAGGCAAAAGGATAGTGTGCAGAGCGTGCCAGGACATGCTTGCCTGCTTTGTCTATCAAATTGTCTGCCTATCCGCTGCTAGCTCCCTTTTTGGCAAGTTACAACCAAGATAATTGCCCCTCAAATTGAGGCTATGCAAACAGGCATGTAATGGAGCTGCTTCCCTTTGAGCGCCATTTCATGTGGTGCTATTAGGTGTGTGTGTGTGTGTTCCTAATGATGATATTTGCCTTAATAAAATACACCCAGCAAGCGCTGCGCATATGTAGTCAAGCTGAGAGCTTTGGAGCTTAAACACTTATACGAGTGATATATTGACTGACATGTGAGCGACAAAAATTAATAAATGTCAAATCGAATCGTAGTTGCCATGGGTTCCTCGACTATGCCACCTGCTGATGCTGACACCTTAACCACAGTTAGAGAGTCTCAGCTGCTGCTACGACACAAAAGCCCAAGCTGTCTGTATAAAATCAATAAATAATAATACGTAACGTTGCGCATACGACACGTTGCCTCAAAATATTATACGCAAGACAGTATATGGG